TGACCTCCTCTATGTTCCTAAATAATAAGAGTAAGCTGCCCCTCGTCTATCTGTAGAAGGGAGAGATTATCCCTAGATTTCAGTAAAGTTAACTTCTTAATAGGAATTGCTTTAATAGTCAGCTCGAATGTTACTTTTTCAAAGAGGTCTGCCTCTCCTCCAAATGAGTGTCTGTCACACAGTAGGCACTTAATAGATGTTTCTTTTTAAATGGATCATAGTGGGAAGCATCCCTGATCAGGGAATGGGATTTTAGGGTTTTGAATCTTGCTTGTTAGAATGCATGCTACAGGAAAGCCATAGAACATAAGTTTTGTTTTCCTCATCAGTTCCCAAGAAGAAGCAAACTAGTGCTGTCTCAAAGCGGTTTCTAAACTATGAAGTGTTTTTTTGTCAGAGTAATCTTGTCAAGACAGTGAATATGGATCATTTTTTGTCATTCAGTGATAGACTGCAAACCTTTAGGTTTGCTCACTCTGCCTCAAATTTGAAACATTAGAAAACCTCAGGAATATTTGTAAAATTATGTTATATTTATGGCAATGCTACATCTACAGGATGGATTTTCTGATACACATTTAACCTACTGTATATTCCATATTAACAGATCAAAGTTAAATTTCTGCATGCTGCTAAAAACCTTTTCCTCTTTTTCTGTAACTCATGAAGAACTGAAAAGTTTACTTACAGTTAAATATGCCTTGATGACTTCATATTAGAGTTTCTACTTTTGCCTATACCTGCATGCCATGTAACTGTTACCAAAGGAGTGTACTACTATGATAATATTGGGGTAAATGGTGTCCGGGAAAATGGAGAAGGATATAGAGGAGGGAAAGGGCAGTGGAAAATGCATTGTGGCAATGCTACAAAAATGCATTGTGGCAAGCAATAACATAAAAACCTTTTAAAAAATGGTAAATATTTCCAAAACAGTTCTAAATTATAAATTCCAGTCAAAGTAGTAAACATACAGATACACACACATAGATTCACATATATATATTTTTGCATGTATGTCCAAAAGTTTTTGAACAGTGTAATTAAGGCTAAGTGTTTTTACAGTTTTTTTGTGGGGAATATGAATGAGCTGTGATATGGTGTCCCTGAGTGACAGGTGAGTTAGATCAGCACACAGGGCCTCCCTGTTTTCCAGATTCTTTCGTACACCATTAATACAGCACTGGCCCAATGATTGCAGAGTAGGAGTTGTGCTCCTACTGTTCTTGTTCCGGTTTTCATTTCTAATTTTAGTTTGTAAAAGTTTGTTTATTAAAAGGTGGAGAGAATTGGGGGAGAGAGAGAGAGAGAGAGAGATCTTCCATATATTAAATATTTCCCAAATGCTCACAGCCATCAGAAAATGGGTCATATGTGAAGCCAGGATCCAGGAATTTCATCCTATTCTCCAATGTGACTGACAGGCACACGAGTACTTAAGACATCACTTTCTGCCCCCTGGGTTGCATATTTACAGGAAGTTATACTTGAAGTAGAGTTAGGATTTAGACCCAGACACTCCTACATGGGATGTGGACATGACACGTGGCAGCTTAATCGGCCATACCTCAGTGCCCACTTCTGTATCATGCTATTACAAATAATACTGATATGAATATGGGAGTTACGATGCTTTTAAGATATTGATTTTACTTCCTTTTATGAATCATAAATTCCTAGAAATGGAATTTATGGTTCATTTACTGGTTTAATATTATTATATTGAGGAAATGCCATACTATTTTTCATAATGGCTAAGCTAATTTACATTCCAACAGCATACAAGAATAACTTTTGTGCAGTTCTTGTCAGCTCCTACCCTTTGAATCTTTTTGAAATTGCCAACCCAACAAGTGATTCTCATTTAAGTTTCCTTGATGACTAGTGATGTTGAGCACCTTTTCATATACTTGCTGGCCCCTTCAAGATATTCTTTGGGAAAAGATGTGCAATGTATTCACTTTAAAGTTATTTTATTTTATTGATTTTCATTGAGTTATCTGAAATCTTTAGATATTTTATTTACTTAAGTTATAACTCCTTATATAATTTGCAAGTATTCTCTTTAATCTCAATTATTATTTTTTTGTTTCGTCAGTGTTGTTTCACTGTGTAGAAACTTTTTAGTTTGAAATAATAATCCTACATAGTTAATTTTGTTTTGTTACCTGTGTGTTTTGATTTCAGATCCAAAAATAATTGCCAAGACCAATATCAAGGTAAACTTCTGCTATGTTTTCTTCTGTTTCATGGTTTTAGGTTTTACGTTAAAGTTTTTGTTGAATGTTGACTTGATTTTTATGCTCGGTATAAATTAAGGCTAAACTTTTATTCTCTTATATATGAATCTATAGTTTTTCCAGTATCATTTATTGCAGAATATCCTTTCCCCATTATTTATTCTTGGCACTTCTGTGCAAAACAGTTGACTGTATATTCATAAATGTATTTCTACTTTAAGAGAACCATTATTACTTTATGTGTCTGCTTTAATGCCAGTCCATAGTGTTTTGCTGGCTATAATTTTTATAATAAATTTTGAAATCAGGAAGTGCGATGTCAGCTTTCTTCTGTTTTGTTCAATGTTGTCTCGGTTCCTGGGTTTCTTTATGATTCCAGATACATTTTAAAATAGTTTTGTATAGAATGCCATTGATTGGGATTTACATTGTAACTTCATTGGATATATGGCTCAGTTTGAGTAGTAATGATATTTAACAATATTAATATTTATTTAACATAATGGAATGCAATATTTAACATAATGGAATGCATCCATTATGTATGTCTGAATGGTTTCTAATGTCCAGAACTTTTACTCAATTTGTTAAATTTACTTTATAAATTTTATTCTTTCTAATGTTATTATAATAATTACAGTGTTTTCTTGTTTTTAGATAGTTTATTCTTAATGTATACAAACATAATTGACTTTTATACAGATTTTAGTACACTTACCATTTATACTACATATACATATTATATATGCACACATATACCTGCATATATAATTAAATAATATATATTATATATAAATACATTTTGCAACGTACTGTACAAGAGTATTGAACTTCAGGGGCTGGTATCAGCAGCTGGCTGCCATTCTGGCATCTTTAAGCATGCCAATTAGAGTTCTGGTTGTTCCACTTCTGATACAGATCCTGGTTAATGCACCTTGAAAGGCGGCAAATGAAGTACATGGACCCATGCCATCCACATGGGAGACCTGGATGGAGGTGCGGGCTCCTGGCTTCAGCACGGCCCCACCCTGGCCAATGTGGCCATTTGGGGAGTGAACCAGTGGATGAAAGAACTTCTTCGCTTCCTCTCATATATTTAAACAGTTAATGTACATTAAAAAATGTACATTGTCTATTAGAAATTCTTGGTCCTTTCCTGTACAATTTGAAGCTATTGGCTAGGAATAAGGATGCGTATGTTTAACAAGCTATCCAGGTGATTCAACTAAACACTAGAATGCAGCAAAGCTAACTTTAGATGCCTGGTATGTAAACACATCTACAACTAAGTATTTGTAAAACACGATGTCACTTTACAGTCAAATTCTTCAATAACAGGGAAATACTATCTGACTTAATATGCTATAGATTTATTTTACCTCTTTGAAGACTTGATATAATTAAAATCATTGTGTATCACCCTGGGATATTATTCTCTATCTGGCTTCATTCCGTGAAAGTGTACTAGAGTTATATTTATGTTATTTTGTGTTATACAGTGTACTACTGTGCAGCATTATATTGTATGATTATTATACCATGCAACCTGAATATTCACTGTCCTATTAATAGCATCTATGTTATTTTAAATCTTGTACTATTATAAACCAATGTATATAAACATTTACAACTTATTTGTATACATACGGTTTTGTTTCTTTAGATTACAGATCCAGCAGAGAGAAATGCGGATCATAATTTAATTTTATAATAACTTATAACCAGCTGTTAATAAAATAAGGTAATTATATCAGTTTCACTGTTACCAGCAACATATGACTTCCAGTTTTTCCATGTAGCTTCACAAATATTTGATAGTGCAAATCTATTCATGTGACTCATTTTTATGGAACAGGATTTCTTATTCTTGATATTATGTACATTTGAAGGTGAGTGTAATTTAATGTGCTTACTGGATATTTCTATCTCAACTGATGCAGCTCTTTTGGAGTGAACCAGTGGATGCAAATTCATACTCTCTTTCTCTCTTTCATATTCCTTCTCTTTGAGCGTTTGCCATTTTGCCATAGATAAAATTAGCTGTAAATATCTCCCACTATATATAAAATGTTAATAACATCTTGATTCATTTAGATGTCTTTAAGTTCTCTCCTTTCTAACTGGTTTAAAATGACTGTGAATTTATAGTTTCTATATGTTCTCAGTGTTACAAATGACAATATCTTCAAAATTTTTACATTCAAGACATTAAATTTTGGGGCTAAATTTTGTTATATTAAAGCCATATAACTGAGTATTTACAGATCAAATTAGATTTTGCTGTTTATAAACACCCTTGATATATTACATTATTGCCGAACTTTGTCATACAAATATTTTACAGATACACTTTTGATTTTTCTTAAGTGTAGATGCATATTTAAAAGGATGTTCGCTGCTGTGAAAAAGAAACTAAGGGTCTTGTAGGCTGTGCTAAAAGAGGAAATTCTAGTAAATATTCGAATAAAGACCAAAGTCCTAGCAAAAGAGCATACTTTTCTAATTATGAATTAAAAACTTATCACACCTACTTATTTTTTTTTGTATTAATGTATTTACACTTTAGCTGTTTTAGTTAAAATCTAAGTTAACTCTAAGAATAGTTTAAAAGTTAATTGCCCTCCTACTTGATATTGTATTTTTAACTTTAGATGTATAATAGCTAGGCATTTGACTTTATTTGATGTATTTAACCTTTCCTTTTTTTTTCTGTTTTATTTTTAGGCATTGGGAATCCTAAATATTACAATGACCACAAACATGGCACATGATATTGCAGTTTTTTGGATTACTTTGGTTCTATTTCAGAATTCTGTCTTAGCTGAAGATAGTGAAATAAGATCAAGTAAGAACTATCAGTATTGTCCCTTTTTGTTGCTAACATGTTGATTCTGAGCATAAAATGAGGGAAAAGCCAAGCAGTGATTTTGAAGATCTCGCTATTACTATCTTTGATGCCATAATTCTCTGAAATTAGCAATTTGCTGTGTTATGCATTAATGGAGAGGTGAAGCTCCCCTTGTTGGATAGTTTTGATATGCTCTAATGTAATGTTTTATTCTGATAATCCATCAGGCTTTGGGAAAGGCTGGTATTTGGACCATGTTTAGTTACTTTAGAGCTGCATGGTATGGAGATAAAGAACCTGCCTCACAGCATGGTTATCAGGATTGAGCAAGGTGATACATGTAAATTGCTTGGCAGAATGACACTTCTGGAAATGGTGACAAGTTTTCTTATGGTCTGAAAGTAGATTTGAATTAGTTAGGGAAAGCCATACTAATTATAGTGCTGTTAACCAGGCTATCATTCACACATATGACACTTCATTTTGAAAATTAGCTTATATTTTTATTTAGCTTTTAAAAGACGTAATTTATTTACTTGAAATATAAAGTGACAGAAAGAAACGAAGAGACAGAGACCAATCTCTGCCTCAATCCCCAAACAGCCACAATGCTGGAAATGGGCTTAGTTAAAGCCAGGAATCTGGAACTCCACCTGGCTATCCCTTATGCATGGTTGGAACCCATGCACTTAAACCTTCTTTTCTACTTTTCCAAGCGCTTTTGCAGAGGGCGGGATCACGGGCAGAGCAGCTGGGGCTCCAACTAGTCCTCCGATATGGGATGCCAGTGTTACAGGTAGTGGCTTAACAGGCTGTTAAAAAAAAAAAAAAACTATACCCGTGTTATAGTTTAAACTCATGATTACTCTATGATAAACTAACCATGGCCTCTAACACCTAAATAACATAGTTCAAACACATGATTCAAATTAACATTCATTAAAATAATATTTAATCTTTGCTTGACACTTCTGTCTTAGCACATTGTGTAAGGCAGATACCATTTTGATGAGTGGGAAGCGAGACTTAAAACTTTAAGAGTCTTATTATAGAGTTGGCTAAAGTAGTAACTAGTACTTGAACTGTGCTTTTGATCTTCAGTCTCATTCTTGTTCTATGACATCATTCATCTCCTCAAGGAGGCCTCCTGTATTTTGTCTGGAGTTTATAAATGGCAAAGCTTGCTTTTGTACCCATGTTCTTGGCTAAGAGTCACAGTTATGAAATTTATACTCTGTTGCTCTATGACAATCTCAGGAGCGAGAAGTATCCAGAACAACCCTGTTAAGAGCCGGAACCACTGAAAAGGGTGGCACAGAAAGTCTAGCAGGCTCAGATAACAAAGGGCCTCAGTATTAGGAAGAGCCAACAATTAGAAGCTCTGCAAATATCATTTTTTTTGTCTCTCCCCCATACCAGAAATCCCCAGCAAAACAAATGCATAACCTTTTAATCTTGCTTGAGCTTCCAAAACTAACAAGACTGGCATTTGCTTGGGTTAGTAAGTATGCCTTTAGGCAGAATTCCATTTCTGCTGTGCTGCTCCAAGTCCTGGTCTTGGTGCCAAGGCAGAAGGTTTTGGACCTGTTTCGTCAACACCTGGCTGCCACCTGTCATGCAGCTTGTTAGGCACATTGTCATAATCAAGTTAAAGTTTTATGATTGATCCATTTATTTTCAAATTTATTGGCACTTTCTTGACTATTAAATCTGTTCACCTAATAGTCATGTGTTTTTCTCCTGATAATTATGAAGAGTAAGTTAAGAGAAATGCAAAATTGGAGCCTCTTTCTGTGAACTGTATTAAGATGGCAGGTAGGTAAATAGACAGATAAGGGAACAAGAGGCAAAGAAAGAAAAGAGAAAATCAGAGGTTACTAAGGAGAGACAAAAAATGGAAAAACAGAAATTGTCACTACATGATGTTTTTCTCTTTAGAACTGTAATTTACAAACATGTCACATTTGCAAATATATAATGAAATAAATGACCCTTGTTATAACTTTTAAGTGGACATCTGAGAACTACTTACATTAAGAAGAGTAAAACATACATCTATTGCCATTTCATATAACATTACCTTGATTCCACAATTCATTTTTTCCCAAGTCATCATTTGTGTAGATATGAGACTTTGCCATGCTAAACATAAAGAATGAATTGCAAAGTTATTATCATATGCACCATAAATAATAGCTATCTTCTGCATTCAGAAGTTAGAATAGGAGAAATCAGATACTCTTTCCCATAAGCAGTCTCTTGATCATCCCAAACTTGGAATGTTTTCTAGTCTTCATGTCTTTTTATCTGTGACCTTTGTGCTTCTAGTTCCTTTTGATAAGAATGTCCTCATAACCTGGGTGAAATTTTCTTTTTGGATCTCAGATTGCCTCTTTATTTTTCCATGAAACTCTTCCTAACTGGTCATCTTAAGTCTTTTTATAGTACCTAGTACTTCTTATGATACCTTGTACCTTATAGACATGTTTGTTTTATTAGACTCTGAACATTTTTGAGAAACTTGTCTTTGAACAAATTACCTAGCATATTATCAGACAAAGAGTATGCATCCACTGTGCACATACTAGAGTGAAATTGGGATAGAAGCATGCTGTACATGTTGAAGACAACATAAGGTTTTACTCCTTATTTTTCAACAACTGTTATAATGAGTCCAAATACAATTTATATTAAAGTAATCTTTCTTTTTTCTGGATAGAATTCTAAGATAGGCTGATTACCTGAGTTGCTTTTACTATGTTGGAACAAAATTCTGTTATTACAGATAAAATTAGGTTTATAGCCCTGAGCATAGATGAACTCAAATGTTAGTGCCTGAGAATGAGAAACAGACCTTGGAGTACTAACCTCGGATATAATGAGAACAATTGGCTGCCTTGGTAATTGGCTTTCATTTAACATTTCAACCACAGGAAATGCTGTGGAGTCTTGAAGTTGGCAGAAAATTTGCTATTAATCTTTCATCTTTATTCATTCATTTATATGATAGACTTTCAAAATATATATTTAAGTTCATGAGAAGTGTATATTAAAAAAAGTAATGAATGTGCTTTAACAGCTTTTTTTTGCATCAAACTAAACTTCCCCTGTAAGAAATGGATTTACTAATTGGTATGACAATGGTAGAAAGAAAGACAGAATAATCTTTTGCATTAGCTGGATCATGCCCAAAATACCCACCACAGCTGAGGGGAAGAAGCCAGGAGCTGGAAGAGCAGAGGTTAATTCACATCTCTCATGTAGGTGGCAGGCATCCAACTACTTGAACCCTCACCGCTGCCTCCCAGGTTCTATACTATCAGGAAGCTGGAGTCAGAAGCGGGAAATGGGAGTTTTGCTCAGGCACTCTGGTGTGGAACACTACTGCCATAAGTGATGGCTTAACTACTAGGTCCAATACTTGAATATAAACTTGAAATTACATTTTCCAAGAACATTAAAATCCTCATCTGTGTATCTTTCTGTATATCTGCTGAGACACACGTACACACAGACACTTAATCAGAGAGAAAAAGAGGAAACAGTACTCCATTTGTGGGTTTACTCTTAACTGAGTTGGAAATCCAATTCAAGTCTCTTAAATATGAAGGAACCCAATTGGTTGAGCCATTGTCTCATCATCTTCTATCTCCCAGAGTTTAATATCAGATAATTAGAATCAGGACTCAGAGGCACATGTCAGTCAAGTCCCAGCACTGCCAACATGAGACACCAACACTTTCATTAGTTTCTTACACTGAACAAAATACCTACTCCTTGATTTGACTCTATATCTGAAAAGTGTTTAAAATCCTTACATTTTGCTTTGTATTTAACAAATATGCTTCTTTGACTTTATTTTTTTGCTTAGGTTGCCGTACTGCTCCAACAGATTTGGTTTTCATCCTAGATGGTTCTTATAGTGTTGGCCCAGAAAACTTTGAAATAGTGAAAAGGTGGCTCGTAAACATCACACAAAACTTTAACATAGGACCAAAATTTGTTCAAGTTGGAGTGGTCCAGTATAGCGACTACCCTGTGCTGGAGATTCCCCTGGGCAGCTATGACTCAGGAGAGAATCTGATAAAAGCTATGGAATCTATACACTATTTGGGAGGAAACACAAAGACTGGAAAGGCCATCCAGTTTGCACTGGATTATCTTTTTGCAAAATCCTCACGATTTCTGACAAAGATTGCAGTGGTACTTACAGATGGTAAGTCCCAAGATGAAGTGAAGGATGCAGCAGAAGCAGCAAGAGACAATAAGATCACGTTATTTGCTATTGGTGTTGGTTCAGAAACAGAAGGTGCAGAGCTGAGAGCTATTGCCAACAAGCCTTCATCTACTTATGTGTTTTATGTGGAAGACTACATTGCAATATCCAAAATAAGGGAAGTCATGAAGCAGAAACTTTGTGAAGGTAAGTCTGCATACAATTTGGAAGTGACTAATTTTTGTTTTCATATAATTTGTTTATAAACACTGGAATACTTTCATGTAATGTTTAGATATTTCTGATGGTAAAATAGAGGTGAGTACATATTTTGTGTTTGATTTATTCTTAACGAGTTTTATTTTTAGTAATAATTGCTTCAGTATAATGTTTGTATAGAAAACACAACATTTTGTGTGTAACACTTTGTTAGTGAATTTGGTAGGATGTAAAGACACATCTGTGTAAACTGTACATAATTGTATCATACATGTTACTGAGGTTTTCCAGATTTTTCTCTAGTCTTTTTGCTTTTTCTCCTCCAGTGTGTCTAAGTCAGGATATTGTGACATTTGAAGAATCTTCAAACTTATGAGAAAAAGTACATTATAAATAATTGTGCACAGATTTTAATTTTTTGACCAAAATTAAATTCTAACTTCATCTTCCATAAATTTTTAAAATAAAGATGTGTTGACTTTTAAAAGGTTTAATTATTTTTATTGGAAAGGCAGATCTACAGAGAGAAGGGCAGATAGAGAGAAAGATCTTCCATCTGCTCTTTCACTCCCCAAGTAGTCTCAATGGCAGGAGCTAAGCTGATCTGAAGCCAGGAGCCAGGAGTTTCTTCTAGGTCTCCCATTTAGATGTAGCAATCCCTGGGATTGCTTTCCCAGGCCACCAGCAAGGAACTGGATGGGAAGTGGAACAGCTGGGACACAAACCAGTGCCTAGATGGATCCTGGCACATGCAATGCAAGGCTTTAACCATTAGGTTATCACATCGGGCTTAATTTATCAATTTATTTCAAGGAGTTACATTATCTCCATTTGCTGGTTCGGTCTCCACATGGCTACAGTCACCATAACTGTGCCACGGTGAAGCTAGAATCCAGGATCTTCTTCAGTATCTCCTATATGGGTGACAGGGGCCAAAGCACTTGAGCCATCCTCTGCTTCTCTGCTTTTCTGAGGCGAACAGCAGGGAGACGGATTGGAAATGGGACATCTGGGATGCAAGCATAACAGAAAGCAGCTTTGTCTTTGACACTGCCAGCCTGATAGGAAATTTTTGAAGACCCTTGCTATATAGTTTTCCCCAATGTATATGTATGAGTGCCACACTCTTATAAATATGATAGCAACTTTGCATTATAACTTACTTGTATTTTTTATTGTTACTGTTTCCCATGTTTTGTAGGTACAGAGAATCTCCTGTCCCCCTCCATTTCCTTCCTCTTCGTTCTCCTTGCCCTGCCATTTTCCTCTATATAATTATAATAATCTGGTCCTTCAGCAATAGTCACAAGTCCAACATTCTGCTGTTTAAGTGTTTCATGGCAATGTAGGTGTAGACAATGATAAAAAAAATCTAGTATCCAAATGTCAAGGTATATTTAGCAGTTCCATTGGGAGTCCTCCTTTTATTTAGGAGTAAAGATGCATACTGCAACATATTTTCATTTTCTGGTATGCTGGTCTTCATTATATAGTTTGACTATAAGAATATATATATATGTGTGTGTGTGTGTGCATTTTCACATTCATATCTTTTTGATTTGTATTTTTTAATGAAGGCTGCCTTATATCAGAATATATGATATTTTCAACTGTAATCTATTTAACAATTTCCATTGGAAACATTCGATTTGTTTCTAAATTTTGTTAGCATAAACAACAGTATCAAATATTCTTATACATAATTCTGAAAAAATAAACTTTCAGTAAATATCAAATTATTGATGTTTTTAAAGATTTGAGAAATTATTGAAAATTTTCTCTAAGATAGGCTTAAAGGGAGTGGGTGTTCAGGCCTCCAGTTAAGATGCTAATGTTGGGGTGCCTGAGTTTGATTACCAGCGCTCTACCGATGTATACTCTGAGACGCAGCAATGATTGGGTCATGCCCTCTTTGGACTCTGGAATGTATTCTTTGGCATTGGAAGAAGTAGAAGGGAGAAGTTTTCTGTCACTTTCTCTCTGTGTCTCTTTGCTTCTCACTTTTGTTACCTTTTTTTCCTTTAACAAAACCTTAAATTTTCCTTCAGTAAATATTTGAAATTAAAGTACTTCCAAGTATATTAGCTATGTACATATTATTATTTAACTTCTAACTTCATCTTGATTATAATAACATGCAGTGAGGAAGTTCCAATTTTTGGCAAATATTATTCCAGCTTGAACGTAAGTTTTCTTGTGTTTAGATAATGTAGGAGAATAATTTTTCCTTTCACATGTAATATTGTAAGCATTTAATTTACTCTATACTTTAAAGTGATAGTCATTTAAATCAGAATATTTGTTGAAGAACTTTATTCTGCACTTTCACTGAAAAAAAAACTCAAAAAGTAGATTGGTTTATTTTTAGATTTGCTACATGTGTGGTTGGCAAAACAAATAATGCCCTTAACTATTTTTTTAATTATTTAGGAAAAATAATAGAGAAAAGCATTTTAGAGTTTATTTTGACTATTTATGTAAGAAAATGTAGAAAGTTAAGCACCTCCTTTAATCAGACATTAGTGAAATGTACTACAAATAAAAATGAACACCACTCTGGTTTTTTTTTTTAAGAGTGACCAGTTGTAAGACTTATGGATTTTTGTCATCCTGAACAGCCCATATAATTTAACTTTTTAATATTTTATCGGATTAGAATACTCTGATTTTTAAAACCATGCGTTTTGCCATGAAGATAGAATTTTCCTGAAGAAATTTCATGTCTCAATTATATTAAAGATATCAGTTTAACTTCTTAAATGTATTTGTTCAGTGCTTTTTTTACTTGAGAAACTAATTTTGTGACTATGCCTTGCTAAGTGCATTATAGTATGGGAAATCCAATTACACATGAAAGAACAAGTGTCTTAAAAGGGACGAATGTACAATCTGTAGGGAAAAAAAATCAAATTTGAATTCTTTGCAGATATTTCTTCAACCACACTCATAAAGAGAATCTAAGTAATTTTTGAGTTTGTTCAGTTCACATGTAGAAAAGCTGTCTTTTCTTGAAAGCATTTTCTTTTTTGTGTTTATTTTGTTTTTTGAAACTGTGTTCATGTAATATGTACATTTTTACATTTGAATTTTATGCCATATTAAAATATGATGAATGCGCTAAATTTATGCATTGTTGTAAGGCAGAAATCTCAGGTCATCTAATTTGTATTTGAAGCATTTGACAATTCTACATTTTTTGACAGTTAACTTCTGTTTGGAGCGCTTATGATATAAGATGGCTATTTTTAAATATTATTTACTTTTATGCATTGTGAGGTTGAATCACAGTGAACAAAGTGTTACTTACCTGTTTATTCCTAGTTTATTTCATCTTCCAATACTTTCCTGTTATGAGCATTGATTTTGTGGTGGACAGTTATTTATTTAACACATTTCTGGTGCGAAGGTGTTTGCACTATAACGTTGCTATACAGCAGATCTCTAGGAGTTTTCGTCTGGTACAACTGAATCTGTATACCGATTGAAAAACTACTCTGTATTCCCCTAGCCAGGACCAATCATCATTCTCTTTTCTGTGTTGATGAATGTGACTTCCTTAGATTATGCATATAAGTGACACATAAAATATTTGTTTCTCTGTGACTGGTTTACTTAAGTTGAAAAAGATCTTCAATGTGCATTTATATTATCTTGCATGGCAGGCCTTCCTTCACTTTAGAGTTAAATTCTGTTTCACTGTATACTTCAATTTTCTCATATATTTATATACAAATATTCAGTTTGTTTTTCTCTTTTGGTTATGTGAATATTATTGCAATGAACATGAATAAGTAAGTATTATTCATGGTTTTATTTTGAATAATTTTTTTTGGTCATACTCAGGTTTTCATACTCAGAAGTATTTTTATAAATATTCAGAATGATTGTTGTATCATATATTGTTTTCCTTTTTGAGGAAGCTCAAAAATATGCTGTGTTTTCATAGCAGCTGTATTAATTTTCATTGTCAACAGTTCACAAGACTTTTCCTTTATCGATATCCTTAACAACACATATTTTCTGTTTTTGATTGATATAATGGCTGTTTAGTGTGTGAGATGCTTCTCCGTGGTTTTAACTTCATTTTCCTGTCAATTAGTGCTGGTGTGTGTTCCCATATATTTACTGGCCTCTTGTTTGTCTTTCTTAGAGAGTTACCCATTTAAGATCCCTGCCTAATTTCAATGGTTATATGTCATTCTATGAGTCTCTTGTTTATTTTGGATTTTATACATTTATGAGATACAGGGCTAGCAAATATTTTTCTTCTTCTGTACATTGTACATTCTTTTCTTGTTCTGGAAACTGAAAAGATTTCAGTTTTCCCCTACTCGGTATGATCTTATCAATGAGCTTTTAATATGTGATGCTTCTTTTGTGAGGTACATTCCTCCTATTACTCAAGTGCATTAATAGAGAGCTGAGTGGAAGTAGAACAGCCCGGACTGGAACTGATGACCATATGATGGGACACTGGCATCCCAGGCAGCAGTTTTATGTCTTATGTCACAGTGGATCCCATAATTTTACAACACTTCATTTTTCTGTCCTCACATGAACCTGACTCCTTTGGTTCTGCTCCTCCATGGCTTATGTACATTCATGATTTATTAACTGTTAAAGTAAGCAGGGATAAGTTAGCAATGGGGGATGGGCAGAATCTGGTGAATGGAATATATTCTAAATGAAGGTATTCTAAATATTTGAAAATTAAAATTTTATAACATATTAAAATATCCTTTAAAAAACCCCTTTTTGGTCATTTAGAGAATTACTCTGTAGTCAATCTGTAGAAAGGAAGAATCAGAATCAGTTTGGATTTATTGTCAGGAGCTTTTAATTAATTATAGGTGATGGAATTATGTTTTTAGGAAGGAATTTTTGTATCAAAAGAAGTGTTTGCATATGAAAGTCATATTTGTACTGTTTCAAAAGTAAAGGAAAAGGTCGCTAAGAATTTATTTAGAAAACATGAAATGAAGACATAA